GGCCCTTCCCTTCCCTCCGGCGGCCCGCCCCGCCGAGAGGCTCTGGCCTAGGGCCGCCTGCCGCGGGGTCGCCGGGCCCGCTCTGCGCCCGCACCCGCCTCTGGAGCTCCCGTTGTGCTGGGGCTGCGGCTCTTGGTGCACTCGGGGCCCGTCGCGCCGCCCCGGCTCCCGGGCGTGAGACCGGGGAGGGGCCGCGATTGGGCCGAGAAGCCGTCCGAGAAGGGCGCGGTTCGCCGCTCCCCCGGAGCTGCGTGGAGCTGAGGCATAAAACGGACAACGCTTCGTCAGAAAAAATTGTCTAGCGCCTTAAACTCAGTTTTGGCCCAAGCCTCGGGAGTTGCTGACTGGCTGGCTGCTTTCAGCTTGCTCGACTGATTGAAAATAATAAAAAAGCAGTTCTGTCTTTTTGCCTGTTGCTATCAGTTTCTGTCTTTGCCAAGAGATGGTCTCTGCCCAGCTGTGTTGGAATGTGCAAGATAAGAGTCCAGTGTCGTAGGCTTAGTATTTTACAGCCAAGTGCAGCCGTGGAAGGCCTTTGGAGGAATGTAGAATTCCAGAGACAGAGAATCTGAGACACCTGGTTCTTTGGTTTTTCTAGTGGAGCATGTTTCTCTTTGTTTGTTATATGGGGTAATGTAGAAAACTGTTGGTAGCCCTCAGGTTGGACTCTGCTGTTTGCTACCCTCTTATGCTGCTTGGTCAAGGGCGCTGTCTTCTCTGCACACTTGTCCAGTCGGTCACTCTGCTAACATCACTTCCACCTTTTGTTTGGTCTGTTAGTACCACCATCTGGGGACTTGCTGAGAACCGAGTACGATGTTTTGTTGCATCTACAGGTTTCAGAAGCTTCAGCTAGTCACTTGTTGACTGGGGAATTCTACCAGGCAGCTTTTCTTTTTCATGGAATGTTCTTTCATCCTCCTCATTTTCATTCTGTGTGCAGTACACTGTGTTCTCTATCTGTAATGAAAAGAAGATTCAGTCTGTGAATAGGGAAATTCTGTTTAAAATACTCTAGCTGTTTTAGCTTGCAGCTTCTCCGAAGTCTCTTGAATAGTGTGTTATTAGTGGCTCTACTGATTTCTCCTTGCCTTGCAGCTACCCTTCCACCACTGCTTTGTATAAAGGAACTTGCTCTGCAGAAGCAGAGTGAATTCGTCTTTCATGGATTTCAGCTTGGCTGCTGTCTCCCTGTATAAAACTGTGAGAATTGCTTACATGCTGTTGTTGAGAAGAGTGTGCTGTGAGAGACCCGTAAGTGACTGATAATCACAATTATGCAAAATTGCAGTCTGCTTCTTCCCAAGAGCTTCTAAACAGTCATTTTATCAGATACATCACTGGTGCACTGCAAAATACCCATTGTAAAATTTACCATGTCGCCTCTCTTGTCTGCAGACATACAGTGAAATCTTTTCAAAGAACACTTTTGACAGACAACCTTGTGTTAAGAGGCTGACCTGAAGTACCCCTTGTATTTGTAGTCCAGTCTTCATTGTCCTCTTCTGGAAAGCTGCTTCTGCTGAGCCACTGATTTGTGTACGTCCCTCAGAGGGTTGTTTGACCCAGACTGTCTGAAGAGTTTCCTACCTTTTTTAATTTTTAATTCCTGCTTCTCTGGGTTCTGCTTAGCCAATTCATTTTGATGTTTGAATCTCTTCCTTGGTAGGCTCATGCGGTATCTGTTCCGTGGTGCTGCTGTGCAATGAAACAGTCCTTAAGCTGTGTTTCTTCCACTGTGTATTTCCTGTGCCTTGAATACTGATTGGAATAGGGAATATGCTTTCCAGTCATGAGTGGGTGCTCATTTATGGAAGAAGTTTGGGGAAGAAATGGTCTACCGTGAGTTACTTTCTGAGTTCATATGCAGCCAAAAGCTTTTTTTGAGATATGAAGGTAGTGTGATACAACTTGGTTGGTTACTTTTTTCAGTGGTGAGGCTATCAAGGGAGTGCATTGCCTCTAGGAGTTGTGGGCTAACCTCTGCAGTGCTTTTTTTGATGAAACAGGAGACTTTATTTATATTTATATGGCACTTAGGGACATGGTTTAGTGGTGGACTTGGCAGTGTTAGGTTTACGGTTGGACTCAATGGTCTTAAGGGTCTTTTCCAACCTAAATGATTCTATGATTTCTGCAGAATTTCCCATAATACCAATGCTTTTGTTTTAATGTGCACTCCCTCTCTCTGAATGATGCATGTTCTTTGCAAGGGGCAAGACAAGTTAGAGATTTGTAAAGGCTCCTACCTATAATAATCTGGGCATCTTTGTTATGGCGTATAAAGTACTGTATTTTCTTGTACTCTTCAGCAACAACTTGCAATGTAAGTTGCAGTACAAATAAAAGACTATGACTCTACTGTAAGAGGCTGAAGGGAGAAGTGGTAATTAGATGCTAATTACTCATGGGTATATTAGTTAAGAGTTGCAAATTCAGTTCTTAATACTCAAGGAAGTGATCTTTGAGCCTTGCCTCTTCACTGGGTATTTGCTGTGCCTTGAACACTGAATGGATTTAGATGGTTTCTAGTCGTGAGTTGATTCACTCGTGGGAGAAGTAATTATCTGTTCAGTTATTGCAAGCCAGCCTTATTAGAGATGATATGTGCTTATGCCATATGACTAAGATTTCTCAAGCCATCATAGGCTTTAGTTGCTGAATGGAGAACAGTGAGTGGAAATCATATACCATTTGGGAACTGTCTGTCTGTTTCTAGACTTAATGGATGGAAACCTGTATATCCTGCAGATCTGGAGGTGTCGTGCAAATTGGGCACTTTGTCTGGGGAATATGTACAGAGCTGTGCTACTGCTTGTTTACTAGTCAATGCTATAGTGCACTTAAAGATTTAGTTGATGAGTTATCCCTGTTTTGAGCTATTGCTCCAAAAGCAATTTGAAAGTCTAAATGCTTTATTTATTTATTAATTTGTGTGTGTGTGTGTGTGTGCACGTGCACGTGTATTTCAGGAAAAGGAAGCAAGGAAGGCTGATTCATAGTTTTATTAGGTTCATGTATCTCTTTGCGAGACAGAAGGATTGGGTAAGCTCCAAATTCTTATGGCTGATGCTACAGAGTACGCTGGTTTAGCCGGC